AATAAATAAAATCGCAAATCGCATCATATGACCCCTTTAATAGATTGAGGAATACTAAGAAAGTTTGTCTAACTGAAGGAGGGAGAGGGTAGAGAATGATTTCCCGGGTCGCTAAAGACCCGAGGTATGCATTTAAGGGTTAAGCTAAACTGATGGTGAATTTAATTTATACTGTATCAAAGCAGCATTAGAGCTGCCTTTGATACTATGGCTCTTTTCGTGACATAGGCAAAACAAATTTTTGGGGGCCCCTTCCCTATTAATATGTTAGGCCTAATATTAAAACCCAAGCAAACTAAATATTTCTTAATCAGTGGAAACCATTACAGTGTTTTCTATCGCAATAAGCCCTTGCGTTCAGTCAATAAAAAAATCGAACGTAGTTCTTAAAGGGGTCATATGATGCCGCTAAAAAGAACATTGGGCTAAAGCCCACCTGGGGCAACACCCTGTAACTCTCTAAAACAGCTCTGCAAAATTTAGCTCCAACCCACACCTGCTTGGAAATTACTAGTAATCCTGAAGAGCTAGATTAGCTGGATCAGGTGTGTTTGATTAGGGTTGGAGCAGAGCTGTGCCCCTCCAGGAATTGAGTTTGAGACCATGCACTGCTCTAAAACAAAGTTTTAAAATGCTGGTTTGAATTGTAGTTCTGATATGCACACCATTTACCAACAGCAGAATTACAGTTTTGAGTCATGATATGTGAAGAATTATGAAATACCAAGAGTGAGCAAAAAAGAAGCTGTTAAAAACCGTTTAAACGTCTAATTCTTTCACTCATAAATAATAAATAGATAAAACACAAAAGTCCCTGTGTGAACAGCTTGCCTACCTGTCACTGATTGCAGAGTTTATGCAGAAAAAAATGTAAAGGTCTGTTAAATTAATTTCTGATAGCATAATCCAGTGCAGCTGCTTCAAATGAACATTATAGTAGAATGATCATGAAGCTAACGAGATCCAGTGGCGAGAAAGAAAAGCTGGCATATTCAATTATGGACCATTACCGTTTAGAGATATTGATTGGTAAGCTATTTTAACTCCTTGATTGGAGCAGTCAGTCTTGCTTAATATAGTGAAATCAATATGTGCAGCATCAGGGGACTGATGATTGTTTAACAATGAATAACTCTGAGGGGTGGTTTCCCGGACAGGGTTTAAATTAAGCCAGGAGTAGGCTTAATCTAGAATAGTTAATCTTGGTTTTAAAAAATGACTTTCTGAAACACAGATTACTAACTCCTGGACTATGGAGTCCTGAACTAAAATAAACTAGATTAATTTAAAACCAACTGTGCTAATCTGAATTAGAATGACATAGGTTGCCTATAAAACATGGAATGAACCAAGAAAAGCTTAAAATTGAATGGAACTGAGAAGCAAATCCAAGGAAAACAATAGTAGCGCAAAAAAAAGAGACTGTGATCAATAACAACAAAAAAAAATTTACTAAACAAGAGAAAACTTTTTTTTTTAAACAAGCAAAGTAAACCGCACACATCAGGTGTCGAATAATAATAAAAGGAATTCCTAGGAATCTCTTTGTAATGAATTATTGCATAACTTACTGCAATCAGCTGTTGTCAGTTTTGCAACATTTTATTATTATTATTCATTATATTATACATAAAGCAGCTGTTTTAGAGAGAGAGCAACAGAGAGAGAGTCATGATGAGAATTTTTTAGCACCCTAAAAAAATACGATCAAAGAGGACTGTGAAAATAAATCTGTATTGTTTATCCTTCTGATCTTTCTTTTTTTTTAAGTAAATAAAAATTAAATAAATAAATCACAACAATAATTTCAACAAAATTATAATTTTTTTAATCATATCTTTTTTTTTTTTTAATACACATTGGCCACAATTATTTGTAGTCCTAGAAATTATTATTAGTACAATCTCTGAAGATCTACATTCCCATTCATATTTAAATTTTTCACCAGGGTGATAGGAACATGAAATTATCCAGCCATGACTTCCTGTTTCACAGGAATATAAATATGAGGAACACAAAGTCCAAATTCTCTTTATCATCAACCACAATAAAAAACCTCAAAGAATATAGTTCTGTTGTGCAGCAACAGATTGTTGAGCTTTACAAAATATGAAGTCAAAAAATAGCACAAAAAGTGCTAAATTATATATATATATATAAGAAAAGAGCTAAAGCATTGAATATTTTCAGTTCCACCATTAGGACAATAATTAAGGAGTTCCAAACCTGTTCCAAACCTGCCTACAGTATATTGTCTATGTGTCTATTGTCTTAATGCAATGTGAGGATAGTTTGAATGGCCAAAGACTCTCCAAGGATCACAGCTGGATAATTGCAGACAATAGTTAAGTCTTGGGGTCAGAAAGCCTTATAATGGACCACGGTTGGATCTTTCAACAGAACAATGATCCAAAAGGACCATCTAGTCTTCCTCCAGGAAATCAGCCTATTAAATTCTGGACTATAGGCTAAGTCTGAGACTATTTCAAACCATGGCAGAGAAAGCAGATTTCTGTTAATCTGGTTTAGAGGGCCATTTTAGTCTAGGACTAGGCTTAATCTCTGTCCGGGAAACTGCCCCTGAGAGTTTTTTTTAACACAAGACATCTTTATCTGTCTGCTACAAATGTCAGTCAGAATTATAAAGGAGATTTAAAGAACTGGTTTTGAATACAAAGAGTTACATTGTTGCAACTCAAAGTAAGCTGTTAAACTAGTTAGGGTCAGTTGTAACAGTATGAGAGAAAAGAATAACAGCAAAAAATGAACCATCATTATACATATAATTTGCACCGTAACAGCTGCAATATTTAACAAGAAGTTACCTTTACTTGCATGTTACCTATATATCTACTGCATTTTAAAATAAATCCATAGTACAGCTCAGCTGCCTGCATGAAATAGTCAAGACAACTCTTACCTCTGAAACATCTGTCTGTTTTTGTCTGTTTAGGCATGCTGAAAAATCAAGAAAATAGAAAAAGTCTTGAATGGGGATTGGTTTTGTTACAACTCTCCACACCCCTGTCAGGTATTGTTGTTGAATGAGGATATGAGATAATCACGATTTGAATGCATCCCCCTATTTCCCAGCAAATATAAGGTCTATGATTAAAATAGAAAAATTATTGTGCAGACATGGTTAAAAAAATTAAAATGTCAAAAATTGTATGTATTCCAGTGACTACTTTTATAACTAACCCTGTGTTATGAGTATCTGCTCAAAGATACCTGAAACATATGACCCTTTCTTTAATCTTGATCTTTTTTTAATTATCCTGTTGGTTCTTTGCCTACCAAATGTTTTATTTTCCTTTGCTGTCACAAAACTTGCTCAAAGACTAGGAATATAATATTGTACAAAACACTACGTGATGCTATAATCTGTGTACTAGAGACAAATAATAAAACAAAACGTTCAACCTGGAAGTGGTTAAACTCTTTTTGGTTGTTTGTCTCTAAATGTCTTATATATCATCGCATGTTATTGAATTCGGCAGGCACACGTTATAAAAGTTATGAGAAGAGCTGAAAGAATAGCAATCAGTGAATATATATATAAAAAAAATCTTTGATTTTTAATTTATGTTAAGCAAATCTTAAATTTTCTTTAAAGGTTTATGGACACAATAACTGTTAGTTTGTGTTTTTCAATGTAAGATTTTTATAATCTTTTCATAATTGTTCTACATTGATCCCTTAGAACACAATAAAAATTGGGCTTGTAAATAAAAAAAAATGGTCAAATTGAATTGTTGAACATAAAACATAATGCATGTATATAACCAGTTCCCAAATGTTTATTCATACGTTTATTAACAGTGTACATGTTTTATATGTATTTCATATTATTTGAACTTTTTAGACTTCATAAATATGACCCCAAGTATCACTTGCTTTTTTAACATTGATCTGCCTGTTGTTAAGATACATGTTCAAATCTACTCTGTTTTCATCTTCAAAAATGTTTTGAAGTTGTATGTAGTTACAGTCCGTACATGTATCAGAAAAGACTTGCAAGTCTACATGCAGTACATGTGCTTGGGAGTGTCATGATTGAAGAACAATTTGTTCAAAAACACTCAAATAATAACCTTTTCAACCACAGGATGAGGATGTTTTTTCCTGCGTTAAACTTATCGACACACATGCTATGTACCCTGTACATATGTTCAGTCTCCCCCCAGAACCCGAATACAACGTCACAAACCCTGCAAACGGACTTTCCGAACACGTAATAGGTTATTTTCTTTGCAATCTCATTTTCCGGTCTTCCGGAATGGATTTTTAATTCATTTTCATGTGAAAGTGGCACGCTGGTCCTTATTTATGTGGGTATATGGCAGAATTATTATTTTGTTCTTTTAATCTCAGTCATGAAATCTGACATGAATCAGCTGATCCATGAAAATATGTTTTATCTTATATGATAAGGAAGATGTTTTGAAATCAAAAAGCATGAATGAGGTGAATTAGAAATATCTTTCAAAGCAAATGTGCAGAATCTCATTGATGTCTCGTGGTAAGACAGCACATAAAATGTTCAAGATGAATTTGGGCTTTGGCCCATCCACACCAAAGGAATAATTGACTTGTTTATTTATTTGTTTATTTATGATTAACAGTCAGCAATACACATACACAATATGAGACCCCAAGTAATAAAAATACAACTATCTATAAAACATTTACATGTAGAAAGCCAGTAATCACTCAGGAAAAATTGAAAAAAATGGATTTTTGCTGCAGTGAAGGTTTTCTCAAATAGGAAACAGAAACAACAAATTGCCACATAATTTCTGAAGAAGATATGGTCAGTCTGTTACTACACACTCTGTAATGCACACATGAATATACAATATGAACACACACACACACACACACACACACACCAACACCCAGTGGGGAAACGGTCTGCCTTGCTGAATTTCCACTAAATGTCATGCTAAACATTATAAAAGGGGTGACCCGAACATTTTCCAGAGCATTCAACCTAATAATCGCTCTCTCACTTGCATCTAGCTGACACTCGCACAACAGGTGAGTTTTTTCCCCTCCTTTCAACCTGGTTGTATTAATTATGTATTTGTTTGTTTTCAGAAAGAAAGAAAAAATTAAAGAAAAAAAGAGTTACTTTTACTTAGTGCTTTTATAACCCAAAACACAAAAGATTTTTTTGTTAACTTTTTTTGCCAGTTGTGACAGCAGTGTGTGAGAATAAGTTGATTAAGTTATTGTGTGTTTTAAAATTATGAACAGTATCGCATCATCAAATGTACATACTTTTTGATTCAATTTTAATCCTCAAAATATGCTTTTATTTTGACAGACAAGAGTTTGACTCATTGCATGTTTTAAAGCTAGATTGGTTCAAATGATCACATATTTCTCAAACCAACCACTGAATGAACGGTATTTGTTTGTTTTCAGAAAGAAAGAAAAAATGAAAGAAAAAAAGAGTTACTTTTACTTAGTGCTTTTATAACCCAAAACACAAAAGATTTTTTTGTTAACTTTTTTTGCCAGTTGTGACAGCAGTGTGTGAGAATAAGTTGATTAAGTTATTGTGTGTTTTTAAATTATGAACAGTATCGCATCATCAAATGTACATACTTTTTGATTCAATTTTAATCCTCAAAATATGCTTTTATTTTGACAGACAAGAGTTTGACTCATTGCATGTTTTAAAGCTAGATTGGTTCAAATGATCACATATTTCTCAAACCAACCACTGAATGAACTGTGACTCATTTTACACTTAAAATGGCATTGTAATTCCACATGATGTGACAATTTACATAACATTTCATTATGCTGTAGTTTCTTTTAACCTGACAAACTAACACAGTTCAGCATAGGAAAAAGAGACAAGCAACCAAACAGTGTGCTTTCCTAAAGTGCAGACACAAATGAGGTCTGTGCATCTTAAGACATCTCAGTCTTTGGTTTTCTTTCCTGTTCAGAGGCAACCACAAAGGCCTTTGCTGAGGAGAAGGATTAAGTTTAAGCACACATAGAGTGACGTCTCAAGGAAAAGCGCCAGACAAAGAAAGGTGTGGGAGGTAAAAGAGCCTATCTTCTACAGAGATCCTGCAGTTATGATAGCAATTGCATCATGTATTAGTTAAACTAATGTGTGTGAAATCAATGTTCCATCTTAAAGAAGGATCACCCAGACAACAGATGTAAAGGGTAAGTTATACAACTCTAAAAATACACTTCTTGTGTACCTGAGAGCTGCACATGGGGAGAAAATGAGTAGGTGCAAAAATTTCTAAAATAACTTGACACAAAATAAGTTTTTGATGGCTGTCTTTGCCTTTTAAAAGGTCACCTCTTTATTCAGATTTTTTTTTTTTTACCAAGAAATTAAGTTCTTGTGACAGCCACATTTAAAAGTAGCGGTTCTTCAATGGTTCTTTGTGGCATCTTTGAGCAAACAATCCACATTTTAGCAAGACACTTTTTTGGCTGTGGTGGATTCTTGAGTTGAGTTATACAGTTCTTCAAATTAGATTCAAATTAGAAATGAGCTCTTCAGGTTTGTATGTTGGTTTTGTGTTCTTTAAAACATCAGTTCATCATGGTTTTCAACACAACTAGAGAACAAACAGTTCTTAGAGGAAGTTGAAAATGTACTTTGACGTCAGGCTGTAAAATCTTTCTTGGTTTGAACCGTTATTTTTAAGAATGATAGCATTAGCTAGTTATGATTTGGTATATGATAGTGATTGGAAAACCAAGTTATAGATTGTAAAAATTGATCAAAAATTACAGATGCGTCGATATTACTATTCTGAATTATACAATAGGCCAATAATTATTTTCATGCTATGTTCGATAACCAATACATTTTTTGTCCAAGTAAATAATAATAACAATAAAAAGATAAATCTCTATATATGCATTCACATGATGCTAGTTAGCCATTTTCACAAGCATGGAAATCTTTTAGGCACTTACCTTGGTACTTACTGTATAATACCAGAGAATGCTCAAGAATAGCACTCTTTAATGCAAAATTAGCTTCGTCTTGCATATCTTCAGCAGTTACCACAGATATTGCAGTAGATGCCACTTTAATCAATGAATCAATTAATTCTGACCTCCAACAATAAGAAGCCACGATGGTGGAACTGGGTGGAGCAGGGTGTCAGACTATTAAACACTATCATTTGACTCTTCAAATTAAAGTACAGTACAGTTCATATCCTGGTCTTTGATTCATATCATATTGTGTGTTAACACAAATGAGTGGGTACAGTGGAAAAAAGTGAGTCAGAATGAAATTTTCTATGTTTGTGGGAGAGAATTGAGGCCAGAAGTGTCTTTATGTTCCATATCTGTATTTTTAAAAAATGATTATTAATGACAAGTTTCAGGTTTAATTCCGGGTGTGTGCGAATTGAAAATATTTGATGGGCCTTTGCTGCATTTAGTTGGCTCACAGCTTAGATCTGATGATTATCACTGTGACTATGAATTCCACAGAACACGGAAACTAAAACTGATTTTACTGAATACTGAAGTTTCTAAAGTGTCATCATTGTAAAATGAAACTAGCTGTCAGTCCAGACTATTCTCATATTTTGAGGGATTTTATCTCAGTGATTGGAACTGAGAGAAGACTGTATTCAGACTGAGAGATGAATAGTGAGTTTCATTGCCTTGAATAATCCCAGTCTTATCAATATCATCTTCAGGTCGGACTCTCAGAGGAACAAATTAAAATCAATGCACATTGACTAGGCACAAGAACACAACATTGAAAACTAATCCTGCAAATTACAGGAAAATGACTCCCTTGCATATTGCTGATCTAAACCTCTGATAATTAGCCTTGATGACTAACGATACAGAGAAGTGCAGAAAAGGGTCATAAATATAACATGTGCTTACGCTACTTTTAAAAATGTGCTGCAAACATGCGTAGTTGATCATTTTCAAGATAAATGTATTTCTAGAATATTTGAAAACATTTGTTACATATTTGTAAAACATTTCAGCACCTGCAAAATAAGGCTCTTCTCCTCCTCGTCACGTCAAGTTGCTTGTTTGAAAAACCCCCCAGGTGAAAAAAATTTGACATTTATCATAGACTGGATGTGGTTAATGTCAAATGTCAATGAGAAATAAGCAACACATGACTTCTTAAACAAGTTCAGAAAAAACCGCAATGACAATGGCGCTCTAAAATCCAAAGATGAAGGTTTTTTTTTTCTTTCTCAAAGGTTGTATGTGCAAGGTATGATAAATCCACACTTTTACACTATTAAATATTAAACAGAAGTTACTGCATTAGATCTGAACACATATGGAAGTACTATATGTATGGGGTGAGTCAGATATATGGTCTACGTAAGGTTGGAGCGTCGTAGTCCTTTTAGATTTAATAGCCAATCGCGTAATTATTTAATCTCCATAAATATTTGAGACTTTAGAATGTAGTCTACTTGACCTATAGCTATTGATTTGATTGTTTTGAGTTTCTAAGATGAACTGAACAATTATTTTTACAGAGGAAAAATAAGATTAATAAAGATATTAATGTCCATGTATGCCAATTGATCATTTCAGGTTGATGTATTTGTAAGACAAAAATGTGTGTTACACTATTTTAATTTCAAATGATAATATTTTGATGGTTCCTTTTATTTAAAAAATCCAAATTTAAGGCTAGATGTGTCATATTTATATTGTAAATGGTGAGTAAACATGCATATCATTTTCACATTTCCATGAGCTACGAAAAAAAGAATTGATAGGGTTGAATGCAAAAAAAGACAATTAAAAATGATTCATTTAGTACTAATTTTGTATCTACAATGATCAAATTACTTAAACTCTTAATAACTTGAGTTATGCGTCTTATTGTTTATATTATATAACACTCTAATCTCAATCTTACACAAACACATTTTTATTGTAAATATTTTGTGGCTAAGCCATATTGTAACATGTGTAATATCAAATAGATTAATAAAGAGCAAAAATAAAGACTGCTTGCTTTAGCTGACAAAATTGTTTGCTTCACAGAATGGGAAAAAAGTACTTCAGTTTATATATAAGGGGCCTACTCAAGGTGAAGTGTGGTTTGTGTTCAGAAAACACCTGCACAGTGAAACGAGAAGGAAAAACAACTTCCATACTTTTACTAGTTTTATTCAAATATGTAGTTATTCTATATTTGGAAACAAAGCAAAGGTGAATGTATTTACACAGGAAATAGTTTGCGCTAGGGCTGATTCATTTCACTCTTAGTACGCAGTAGTACGGTAAAGTTCATAAACTGTAACCTCTTTTATATCTTCATATTTCTATATAGGAATGCTTCAAAATGGTGCTGGAACACACAAAGGTGGAGATAACTGGAGTAGTCACCAAAATCAGTACCAAGAGGAAGACTGTTCTACCTTTTCCAGCATGCAGATGAAGGCCAGAGGAAGCAGTTCATCTCTGATCTCAGGCAAACCCATGGCTACCAAGGTAACGGACCGGAAACTGACATATTTCTGTATTGCTGCACAAAATAATAATATTAAATATATGAATTAAATGATATTATATGAAGGTTAATAATGTTGATTTGAGTTATTCTGCCCAAAACTTTTCATCTCAAGTAACATTCTACTGAAAGAATGAGTGCTGTAACAAACAAACCTTAAAATGTATCTTTTTCCAATTGTGATTTCAAAGGTGTCTGTTGCCTTGGACAGTGATTTCAGAGGTTCTGGCTCATCTCACATTCAAAATTCCATTCTTCAACAGGAGGTACAGTTCAGTCAGAAAAGGTTTCACTTCCCTAGCAGCACCTTACCTAAGAAATAAAGGGTTATAAAGAATAGAATAAACGTGTCTTTCTAACTTGTCTTTATCCAGACTGCCAGTGAAAACACAAGCAAACATTTCAGACAGCACAGACCATCAGTACTACGCAAAGGCAACCAGCCGTTCCCACAAGGTACTGGTACTGTAGACTTTATCAAAACAAATGAAATCATTTATCTCCCAAAAAAACAAACTTTTCATCTCAAGTAACATTCTACTGAAAGAATGAGTGCTGTAACAAACAAACCTTAAAATGTATCTTTTTCCAATTGTGATTTCAAAGGTGTCTGTTGCCTTGGACAGTGATTTCAGAGGTTCTGGCTCATCTCACATTCAAAATTCCATTCTTCAACAGGAGGTACAGTTCAGTCAGAAAAGGTTTCACTTCCCTAGCAGCACCTTACCTAAGAAATAAAGGGTTATAAAGAATAGAATAAACGTGTCTTTCTAACTTGTCTTTATCCAGACTGCCAGTGAAAACACAAGCAAACATTTCAGACAGCACAGACCATCAGTACTACGCAAAGGCAACCAGCCGTTCCCACAAGGTACTGGTACTGTAGACTTTATCAAAACAAATGAAATCATTTATCTCTGACACTAAACTTTTGATAATGCTCCACAGCTTGTGGTGTTCATGACTGGGTTGTGGGCACTGTGTGTAAGACAGAACCTGACAGTGCCCTGTCAGACCCTGTGCCACTTTACACCAACCAATCAGAAAGTCCTCAGCCTGGCAGCACAGAGCATACTGGGAAGTGAGTATCTGCTTTGAGAACAAAAACAAATAAATAATGCCTGTGTGGTCTCAGTTTTTGTGCTAAATGAAGCATGTATGGTTATCTCTAGGCATGCATACAGTCTTCCAGGTGGCTTTCTGTGTGTTAAAGGACAATGTGGATGGCCTGGGTGCTCAAAGAGCAGAGAAGTGTTCAAAGAATATGGACATTTCTTAAAGTGAGACATTTATGGAATTAAAAATATCATTTACTAAAGAATTCCAACAATACCTGATATCTCTATATTCCATAATCTAGACACCTTTCTACTGACCATGCTCCTGGAGACAGAAGTATAGCCCAGTTGAGGATCCAGAAAGACAAAGTACAATACATGGAGAATCAGGTATGCAACCCCAGTGCTCAAAAACAACGGTTTGTTCTATATTAAGCCAGCTTATGTGGGAAATACAGAACCAATTTAATATGCATCACAGGAGCTAATGATACATAATGCAGGAGGTTATAATAAGAACTGGATTATAAAAGGATGGCCTTGCATTATATTTACTATGTGAATGTTACTGTTAGTTGATTGCAGAGAGACAGAAACTGCAGGCCATGCAACTACACCTGTTTGACGTGAAATCTACCTCTGAGGTAAGCTCTCTTGCATTAAATTAGTTTTGAAATATACAGTGGGTACGGAAAGTATTCAGACCCCCTTAAATTTTTCACTCTTTGTTATATTGCAGCCATTTGCTAAAATCATTTAAGTTATTTTTTTTCCTCATTAATGTACACACAGCACCCCATATTGACAGAAAAACACAGAATTGTTGACATTTTTGCAGATTTATTAAAAAAGAAAAACTGAAATATCACATGGTCCTAAGTATTCAGACCCTTTGCTCAGTATTTAGTAGAAGCACCCTTTACATCTAAATAAGTGGTCCAATCAATGCTGCTTAAGAGAGAGTAATTGGCGGCCATTCGCTGGCAATCACAGAGCTCATAAATATGAGTGTAGCCACCCATAAATCTGGGAAGAGTTACAAAGCAATTGCTATTTTAAGATGTGTAATAAGAACACACATTTACAAGTGGAAAAAATCTTCCCAGCAAGCTCACCTATTAAGGTAAGAATATGTAATGCTCAGAGAAAAGCTACATCAATTGATCTACACTCCTTAGTTAAAAAACAAACAAGTATAATGCTATTGAAAGGGAGTCAGCAAAAATAATGATTTGTAAGTGCATTATGGCTTTGTCTTCACACCAGTTTATTCTTGAGACAAATGCAAGGCCATCTGTCTGCCAGCTAAAGCAGACCTGAAATTAGGTTACACCAGACAACAGTGATCTTTAGCTAGTCTACAACAGTAAAAAAAAGGGAGCATTCGAAAAGCTAAGACAAAACCCTGTGTGAATTAATCAAATTATTCCATAATGACAGTGGGATCTGTTTATGTTCTGGTTGTCATTTGAGGTTAGATTTTACCTGCTTCTAGGGCTTGATGAAAGTCAGATGATATATTGTTGTAATTTTCTCCCTCTGATATTAGGATGGTAACAGTGTGGAGAAGTCAGGACATCTGTCAGAACTCCTGCAACCTGCAGCATGTCAGAACGCAAATGGTGTCTATGACAGTGACAGAGCGGCAGCTGAAGCGCTAACACAAGGATACTGGCAGATCTCTACCTCACAAGTTATACCAGGTCATCCAGCACACACACATTTGTTACTATTAAAATTATACAATACAAAAATACTGGCTCTGATTACCAGTCGTTCATATTTCATCTCCACACACAACACTACCATATATGATGTAATTATTTCCTTCATGCGTTTTTTTTCTTCTGGCAATAGGGATTATCCCCAGTTTTGAGTATTATAAGTTCACAAACATGAGGCCACCTTTCACCTACGCCTCCATGATACGATGGGTAAGTACTGCTGAATTGAAAATCCTGTATATTACTTTTTCATTTCCTGTCAGTCACATAAAAGCTGTCTTTTATGCCAGGCGATACTGGAGTCCCCAGAGAAGCAGCTTACTCTGAACGAAATCTATCACTGGTTTACCCGCATGTTTTTCTACTTTCGTCACAACACCGCCACATGGAAGGTATAAGATGAACTGTTTGTACCGTAAACCTATTGTATTTGTCATTCCATGACTCACTGCACACAAGCCAATCCTGAAAGCCACAGCCTCCGATTTGTAGACCAGAAAACTTTCACAACTTGTATGTTAATGACAGAAAGTGATGACCAGGCTGTGTGATTACAGTGTTTTTTTGTTAGGACTAAGTGAATCTTATTCCTCCTATTAGATGTAACATGATTTAACAAGTAATTTATGTGTCTCTGTCTGTGTGTAGAATGCTGTTCGGCATAACCTCAGTCTTCATAAGTGCTTTGTGCGCGTTGAAGGAAGAAAAGGTTCTGTTTGGACCGTGGATGAAGAGGAATTTCTGAGAAGAAAAGGACAAAAGTTTCACAGGTAAACTGTCTTTCCTTCTTCATAGGGGGTGTCAGTAACATTGTACTTTCCTAATGCATGTCACACTCCTGGTGGATAGTTGGTTGTATGTATAAATACAAGAAGTTAATTTAAAAATGGCTGAGTAGTAAAGGTTAAAAAAACTACTTGGGCTCTTTGGATGGATCTAAGTGGATCTATTGTTGGAGGTGGGAGAATAATGAGATTGATTTATTGCAGTTGCACCACTTTTTCCTCCAGGGATCAGGATATGGGCTGGATGGCACCTTTTCACGTGTTTCCTGTGACTCCACAAGGTGAAACTTATCAGATGCGAGGCCCAAATGGACTCTCATGAAGAGATTACAATCGCATTTCAACCACTAACAATATTAACAACTTTAGTAAGAATGATAAATATTATGATAGTTTAAAATTAACTTTCATTTTAAATGAAAAACATATATCTGGCAGTCTGTTTCAGACCTAATTAAGGTTTTTTTTTTTTGGAAAAAAATTATTTTGTGTAAGGAATTATGAATCTTGCATAATCCAAAGATAAAGTTAAGTAGTGGGTGTTCAGCAAACTTTTCACAATCCTTCTTGCTTTTAAATGTACTGATTAAAAAGTACAAGTTCGTTTTTTATAAAGCTTACAATTGTACATCAATAATGATACTAATGGCATCGTATGTAAATACATTTAATATGGTACTTAATTTAATAATTATGCTGTTAAACAATAACTGTACATTTTCTCTCTATGAATTAATTTCTTAAAATTTGATATTCAAATAAAGGTCCAAACTGAAACGCAATCCAGCATTGTTATACTGTTATTCTGGTTCAGTATACACTACACAACGTCAAGTTTTTCTTCTAATAAACTAAAAAATAATGCAATACCTCCCAGTCAGAAATATTTCACAGTGCGTAAATGCAACGCAATGGGGATGTACTCCATGCTCCTGATCGTCACCAACTGCAGTACAACGTCTACGATTGGCCGAGAGATTTTTGCGCGGTGCATTTCAGCCAATCAGAGCTTTGTTTTCGCGCTCGTATGCAAAGCCTCAGATAAATGGCGAACGGAAGGGCAAACTGTAAACAAATACAACAGAACTGGACATTTTTAGACGGATTGTGACTTTTAAGAGAAAAGCAACTCTATATTACGAATGCTGCGTGTAAATACAAACGGAAATATTCGATATGCGACAATCAGCGAGAATTTAAACTAGCCTCATTCAGCGTTAGGAAGCTACCTAGGCCTGCTGACATTTGCGCAGACTTGGAATTTGGTAACGTTAGTGCTGTAATGCGAACGCGGGCTCTGGATAGAGACCCGCACAGTTAACTCAATTAGCATTTAAAATTTGTTTTAAAATCGTCTGACAAAGTTACAACTAGGCAGCATCATGAGCACAAACTCGGACAGCGGTCAGCCGTCCGAAACAAACCAGAGGAAAAGAAGTGCAAGTCCAAGTGTTGAGTCTGACTCCACGCTGCCCAAGCAAGCGAAAGTAAGTGATGAGGAACCAAGGAATGACTCTCGTGAAGATGCAGAACCTGAGAAAGTTGGCAATGATGAGCCAAAACACGGATCTGAGCATCCTGAAGACGCTAAAGAGAAGGATACGGTGATTCTGAATGAAGCAGACGCGCAGGAGAGCACAGGACAGGCTTGTGGAGGTGAGAGCGAGCGCCAGCCGTCAGATTCCGCTGCCATCGCCGCAGCAGAAGCGCTTGCCAGTCTGACCGGTGGAGACGCGGACGAAGACCGTAAAGAAATGCCCTGTTCGTCTAAAAAAGCGAGCCGAGAGAAATCAAGGGATAAGTCTAATCGTCCCAGTTGCTCTCAGAGCGAGAGAAGGACGGAGGCAGCCGCGGCTGACAGCTCCTCATCCCTGCTGCTCTGCGAGGACCGAGAAGATCCAGAGCAGGCTTCGTTCGTGGATGATGAGGAGGAGGATGACGACTCTCTTCCTGGCTCTTCCTCCACGGCTAGCTCGTCTGTCGCCTCTGATAATGAGGATAACGAGGACGGAGAGTGTGCCATAGTGTCGGTGAAGATGGCCCCGGAGGTGCGGCAGTCCGTGGCGCTGCTCGCACAGGTGCAGATGCGGCTGGACGCGCTGGAGAAGAAAGGCGCGCGTCTGCATCAACGCCTGGAGATGAAACTGAGCCGCCAGCGACGCCCTCACCTGGACCAGCGCGGCGCCATCACTCAAGCCATCCCAGGCTTCTGGGTCACTGCTGTATCCTTTGGCTTTAACAGTGTGCGTGACGTTCAGGTGGACAACTTAATAAGTGTCAAGGCCTTTGAAGTTGAGGTTTGAGCTGAGGTATATGTGTATATATATATAGTTCACCCAAAAATTAACATTCTTACATTAATTACTCCTCGCCCTCATGTCGTTCAAAACCCACCAACGTTGTCGTTTGGGATTTTGAGGGGGCCCTATAGCAAATTCTGTGCAATTGGCCCAGAATCCCTAGCAACTTTACTCATCATACTCGAAACTCCTATGTTCATTTTGGTTTTCCATTTGTGTCAAATCTGTTTCAACCCAATGATTGTGGATTCCAGATCTTTGTCTTCATTTACGTAATAAATGAACGCGCTTAACTTAAAGCCAATCAGCTTCTGAATCACCCACTTCTATCAGCGCAAATCGACGAGACTGATGAAGATGCTCTAAGCTACATGACTAACTTAGAGGTAATACATTTTTTCCCGTTTTTCTTTTTCCTGTTTTCAAAACTTGCAAATGATCCATGTTTTTAATATGCTCGTCATTCGACAGATTGAGTCTTTCAAGAACAACAAACTTGGTTACCGCATCTGCTTCCATTTCCGGCGAAATCCCTTTTTTCAAAACAAAATGATAGTGAAGGAGCTTCATCTTGGTATGGGAGGTGAGCTGACCATTATCACAGTTACCCCTCTTTTCATGAATGTGAAACGGATTACTCTGGGACACATTTATTTATTCTGGGTTTTAATTTTTTGAAAAAGGTAAATGTGCTCTATCTGTATGTGCTTTCCTTTTTGCTCAGGATCACCGGTGTCGTTCTCAAACCCGATTTTGTGGCACAGGGGGCAGAATCTGGTCGGTAGTGGAGAACCACGTCGAACATCACAGGGAGTCTACCAGAGCTTCTTCCATTGGTTCAGTGACCACAGCAACCCAGGAAGGGATGACATCGCGCAGGTACATCTCTCATGTGGTTTGGTGCAGGAAGGGCTGTATAAACAGGCCATAACAAAATCCTTAAACATAGTAAGGATGATGATTTAAAAAAATTATTCCCTTGGCTCTAGATCCTGAAAGATGACCTGTACAGAAACCCTTTGAGGTACTATCTGACTCCACTCTGGGAGCCACGAGAGAATGGCAGGTAATCTCTAGCCTGAAACATCCAGATTTTTCAGTGTATTTTTTAGGTTTTGCTTTTTTTGTTGTTTTAAACCAATTTCTGTTGTCCAGCAGAGGTCCCAAACCTCAGGGCAACAATAATGGAGACGAGTGTGTGATCATCTCAGATTCAGATGAAGATGAGGAGAAGAGCCAAAACTTGGGGCAAGAGGATGAAGATGATGACCAAGTCGGAGGTGAGGTTTTCCTTTTCACAATCAAGTCATGTAGTTTAATATAAAGTGCTTTTATAAAGTCTTTCAAATCAATAAATAAAACTGGTCTTTTTTTCCCAAATCATCATGACTGATCATTTTTTCTTAGGCTCAGAAGAGAATGACAGAGATGAGGGGGAGTCCTCCTATGAGGAGAGAGATGAAGAGGAAGTGGATGTTGAGGAAGTAGAAGAGTCACGTGACTCTAGTGGCTGTGAGGTCAGAGAGCAAGGACAAGAAGAGGAAGATATTGATGTAGATGAAGAGAAGAGTTAGGACACGGGGTTGTCTCTGTTTCTTTTTTACGCAGAATAGCATCATTCGAATTTTCTATGATCCGTTTTACTGATATCATTTCCTGCATAAATTAAGTCTGTTTCAAATAACAAGTGATTAATGATGCTTAATGATCAGGGTTTAAATATGTCTTCATTGTAGATGGTACTTTCAATACATCAAAGATGATGAATATTCAAATTCAATGTGCACTCCTCCGAAAACATGTTTTCCTTAAGATGTCATCACATTTTACACTTATAACTTTGCATTAACAGATTTCAGAGGGCTACTGATACCAGTAAGACACCTCTTTTATCTCACAACGGACTGTTTAAAGCTTGGGATTATAGACTGCACTTAGTTTAGTTTAGTTTTTGTATGACCGTATACAGTAGCATTGTCTGTCACTCGCAATCATGACCATTTATAAACACACCATACTTTCCTGTTTGGATGTTTTACAGGCCTAATCATGTTTTTCAGTCATTGCTGTAATATTTTTGGTTAATTGCTGTTTGTGTTACTTTTTTATCCTCATCTACAGAATTCTAACATCGTGAAGCAATGGGTTTCCTTGCCTTGTTATTGTTCATAAACTCTACCACCACATTTTGATTATAAGGAGAAAGGTCAAACATTCTGAAATGCTCTTCATTCTGATCCAAAACTGGATAACTCAGGGATGTTTACTCTTTTATCCTCCTTATACTGTAGATGTGTTTCCCTTCACAAGCTTCGTTTATTCAGTTTTGCGACATTAATACATAACATCTTTTGTTTATTGATGAACCTTTAAATAATTGTAGTTCATTTCACTTTGTTTACATAAGCAGATTAAACTGCACGTTACCATTTATTCACTGCAATGAATAACAATTGTAATGTTATTTAAATGGTCATCTTGTGGTGTCCCCCCCCCCCCTTTTGACAGCATGATGTGTGCACTCAATACTCAAACTTTTGTGTCCAGTTAAGGGGATGTTTACTCTTTTATCCTCCTTATACTGTAGATGTGTTTCCCTTCACAAGCTTCGTTTATTCAGTTTTGCGACATTAATACATAACATCTTTTGTTTATTGATGAACCTTTAAATAATTGTAGTTTATTTCACTTTGTTTACATAAGCAGATTAAACTGCACGTTACCATTTATTCACTGCAATGAATAACAATTGTAATGTTATTTAAATGGTCATCTTGTGGTGTCCCCCCCCCCCTTTTGACAGCATGATGTGTGCACTCAATACTCAAACTTTTGTGTCCAGTTAAATGCTTAGATAAAATGGTAAAAATAGTGAATATGTACACATTTTTTCATGGCGTCTTTCATATTCATATCACTTGCATTTATTTCTAATAGTGTTTTTTTTTTTTTTGCTCCTTTGGAATAATTGCTTTAACTTTGGTCAGTCAGTTATTAGAGTGAAACCATTCTAAATGTTCTCCTAGGTATCTGTAATAAGGCAATTGTTTTAAAAGATTGAGTTTTGACCTGTAAAAGTTTGGATTAAAAATGAAAAGTTGTTAACTCATTATAAGTATACTGGATTGTACTTGTTTTACTTGCAAGGCCAGTGGTTTGTACATAATCCTTTCCCTTAAAAAGGGTTTATAATTTGTTATTGAATTATTAGGGTAGATTTGACCTACAGTATCAAAGAAAAGCTATATTTTGTGTGCTAAATTTTATAGAGAACTACAATTTTTAAATACGTGTTTTTGTTTTGTTTTTGTTTTCCATGTCAAATAAAGTTTTTGTCTTTTCATTCAGAATGTTTTATGTGGCTTTAGTTTCTTCAGGAAATGAATCAAATGAACAGCTTTATTCTTTCCTGTTTACACACTTAGTGTTCATCTTTTCAACATTAATTCATCTGAGGGGACTATGATAAGAAATTGCATCAAATTAATATGCACCTAACTGTATTTACAAAGTCTATAATTTTTTCCAGCTTTTTCTTTGTTTCTCATGTCTACCCACAAGAGGGCAGCATAGAAAAGAAAATCATTGAATAAGAAATTCTAAGCTGTTTTTCTGATAAAAGAACAAAGTCGTTTTATGGTTTTCATGCATTGTATTTGAAAATGGAACAATAGCTCTGTTGCAAAATATTAGGATTCCAGTCTTTTTTTCCATTGAGAGCTTGTTTTGACGTTTGTATTTGAAGTGCCTCCAGACAACACAAGCTGTTGGTTAGTTATGTGGGGGTCTGTGGGACTGTAAAGACGATGAGATAAGCCTCCTAGTGCAGCGTAGACTGATGTCATTGTCAAATGCTCTTATCTCCATTCACATGCCTTTGCTTAGACAGCTGTGCCGTGCTTGATCGCGTGAACTGATGCATTCCATGTTTTCGTGATCAATTCAACAGTCCTTACAAGTTGGCAGCAGCATTATCTGAGATTTGACCTTCAGAGGTCAAACACATCTCTTCGGAAATGCATGGATCAAACCGAAGACATATTTCCTTTAAAATATGGAAATACGTGATTCACGAGGTAAACTTTACTTTGCCCTTGTCACCTCCAGCTGCATGTTAACCAGTAGCTTGGATTTTGACATAAGAGAGGTCAATGTGTAATGAAGCTTGGATACGTATGGAAACAGCACAGCTCTGCAAACAGCCGAAGGGCAGGCATTTTTGGGCAGGCCTCAACAGAGGAGTGCCGATGTTGCAATGGTACACTTAAAACCTTTGATTTCATGCTTAATGCAATGCTATAAATATTCCACTAGCAAAGGCCTGCCCTGTTTGTAAATGCAAAGCAGCCAAGCAGGCAGCAGGAGTAGAGCTGTACTACTGTTATAGGTTTTTATAGCTTTATCAAGATTGAAGGAAATACGTGATATCATGGGAGCACAAGCTACTGTCCCACACTCAAGTGGTTTGGATTGGAAGAAAATTGTAGAATCAGTATTCAAATAAATAGATTGGGCTGACATTTAAAAGGTTTAGATTTATGTTTTAATTTAATTTAATTTGTTTCCTTAATTTTTTAACATTTTAATTAAATTGCTATTATTTTTTATACATTTTAAAATATTATACAACATTAAAAAAAACAATATTGTAAGTTAAATATTTTAGTTTAGTTTTTATGCACATTTTAGCTGTGTTCTTGTATTTCGCTGAATATTGCCCATTTTTAATGTCTAATGCAGATGAAGTAAATCTCAAAGCCTTTTACATTAAATTCACTTATGTCTTTATTTAATTTGTTATTCAAATGTTTTTTTTTACATTTTCTTTAATGAATTTTATTGTTAAATTTTAAAATGTCAAATATATTTTGAAATATATATTAAAAAAAAGTTAAATAAGCACATTTTTGACTTATTATATTTTCCTGAATATCTGCCACATTTGTACATTTCTTGTGTGTTTACTGTAGGCGCAGTGAATCTCAAAACCTTTTACATTAAATTCATGAATTAATGATATACATTATTTCCATGTTGTTGACCATGGGAGCTTTGAGACTCTTGCTCATGCAAGTTATAACTCACTGTTTTTGTCAGGCAGAATAGGTGAAGAACAGAGATCTTGATTCAAATCATCTTTACCCTTTACAATTTCAAAAAAGGATTCCAATACAGCATGCATAATACCAAATCATAACATTAGATCATATTAAAGTCATATAAAATAATCTGTCAAGTAATTTAAATATGCACTGCGGGTCAATCAATTATACTAAAATAGTCAAAAGCAACTGGCGCCCATTTTTAATGTCTAATGCAGATGAAGTAAATCTCAAAGCCCTTTACATTAAATTCACTTATGTCTTTATTTAATTTGTTATTCAAATGTTTTTTTTACATTTTCTTTAATGAATTTTATTGTTAAATTTTAAAATGTCAAATATATTTTGAAATATATATTAAAAAAAAAGTTAAATAAGCACATTTTTGACTTATTATATTTTCCTGAATATCTGCCACATTTGTACATTTCTTGTGTGTTTACTGTAGGCGCAGTGAATCTCAAAACCTTTTACATTAAATTCATGAATTAATGATATACATTATTTCCATGTTGTTGACCATGGGAGCTTTGAGACTCTTGCTCATGCAAGTTATAACTCACTGTTTTTGTCAGGCAGAATAGGTGAAGAACAGAGATCTTGATTCAAATCATCTTTACCCTTTACAATTTCAAAAAAGGATTCCAATACAGCATGCATAATACCAAATCATAACATTAGATCATATTAAAGTCATATAAAATAATCTGTCAAGTAATTTAAATATGCACTGTGGGTCAATCAATTATACTAAAATAGTCAAAAGCAACTGGCGGAACAGAAGAAAGAAGGTCAGCGAGTGAAGGAGACAGAGACAGAGTGTGATGAAGAGGGTGGGAGCGAGGGAATGGAAAGAGTGTGAGAGACAGAAGGAAGGAAAGAGAGAGAGAGAGAGATGAATGGTAAAGCTAATTAGCAGACTTCTGACAGCCCTGGCAAGCAGATAAATGGTTTTTATCTGAAAGATCACCAGCAGCAGCAGGAGTCACAGCCTTCAGGCGTCCCCTGCACTCTTTCCACCCGTCTGCCTTTCAATATGTATTTTGACTCACTCTGTGGCGACATGAGTATACATGCATATCTGAATTCTGTTTATTTCTGCATTGTTATTTCATCAAAAATACTTCCTTTTTGACTATAGTAAACAAAGTCTGTGTGCGTGTTTCTCAGCTTTTGTATATAAATTGCCCATTACCCATTCTTTGAAGAACATCACGCCTCGGGCGATTGCATTTGCAATCAAGATGAAACTGGAGCGTACTGGAAAAAAAGGAACGGCACCTCAGTGGGACTTTTATCATCCCAAAATCTCGTGGCACCGCATCCATCTTTGATGAGGCAGGCCGCTTATACGCTCATCCATCCTGGGCATCCCGTGGGCTGCGGCTAAGGTGCTGACAGATTTAGCTCCTAAGACAGATGTACTTTACGCTCCCACACCCCTCCAGCTTTTCAACTTTCCATGGAATTACTTTCCTTTTCTCTGCATTTTGGAGGCTAGCACCAGGTTTACCCAGGATACTGACTCGTGCGGGAATCTATCCTGTTGTGAGGAAATTACATATGTTGTTTTAATGGAGTTAGAGGGTACTAGGGTCAATGACATGACATTAATGAAATGAAAAAACATTAAAATACAATCGAGTGCTGCGTGTGCGAGGAAGGTTTGTAGGCCAAAACTTGGAAACGAGTTAGCATTTTAAACACTTCCGGTGATAATCCAAAAGCCAATGGAAAAATCAAGGGAACCTTGTTTTGTCGAGGGAACCAGTGTGATGCTAACTTATGGGTTGGCCTACAAAAATTCATCATCATGCTGCACAGTATATTTACTAATGATATTAGCATGCCTCTAATAGGATAAGCACAATACAGTTTTCTGAATTAAAATTCATTTTAATATGTTCTTGCATCACAAAGTAAAACATGTCAGGTGATACAATACTTTAACAAAACAACTTCACTGCTTATTATCTGAAACCCTTTTGTCCACCAAATTATGGGGTCCAATGAACAGGCAAAATATGTGGGAAAGGACCCCTGTGGACCCTCAAACCAGTGTGCCAAGGTTAATAAGTCTCTTAAATAAAATATCAGATAATCGGACCTTTTTATGACAAGACAAGTTTAGTTTGAGTTGTTAAATGTGGTGTGACTATACAAATCTAATATTTGTGAATTAATAATTCATGATGCATGTATTTGATAAATAAACACACATAAATAAATATGAATATATAAATATACATACATACATACATATAAAACAAACAAACAAATAAAATACCCTGAAAAAATATATTTAAAAACTTTTTTTAAATAATGAATAAACCATGTAAAATCAACATGAATACAAACAGTACATTTTAAGAACTT